AGTTGGAATAGCAGATTAACCTAACTCCAACGGTAGAACACTGATCCTTTTTAGGCCCAACTTGGTTCTACTGGATTGTTGAGCGAGATTGAGACATTAAAGAATGTTAGTATCTAATCATCGATTACTATACCGAAGAAAATTGTGGGTGTTGATTAAAAGTTGTGGTTTAGCTATGTTAGTCCAGCATCGACCTCACCCGATTTGTATTGACCAACAAAATCTAGTGATAGTCAACTAGTAGTCAGCTGTCTTCTTGTATATTTGATCCAGGTGCTTGGCTCTTTGCTAATAAGATGAAACTTTTTTCCTTGTTCTTAATATGGGCGATAGTGCTATTTTAGAGGATGACTTTGTCGGCTTTGCTATATTTAGATTACCATTTTGTGGTAATATATGGTTCAATATAAAATATGGTTATTAAGTTCTTAAACACTTGATATTGGTTGTAATATTACTATTATTATTACTAAATTTATTGCAAAATTATAAAAAAACAGCATTTCAAAGCATCTCATAACTCATAATATGATCGTACATGGTAGCATCTTCAGTTTTAGAAGTATTGTATGGAACGTTTAATACTTTGTTTATATTGTTTACTATTATTATATCTTCCAGAATGAGATGTGCAGAAGCGGCGTTAACAACATGAGTAACTATGTATATGACTGAAATTTTCGGAATGCTCATACTTCGCGAATGAAGAGCTTATGGAGAGTTATCGATTCTAGCAGTGATAGGAAAAATTGATCAACATGTATTATAAATTATCAATGTCTGCTTATGTTTAAAATGCAGTGTTACGACATAGTTGTGGTAGGAATAACAATTGTGGGGAATGAGTTATGGAAAATATTGTTGGCAAAACTAGAATGTTTTTAACTTAGCATTATAAATTATATTTGATAGTTCAATTATTAATTTAAGTAAAGATAAGCATGTGTTAGGTAGCAACCTAAATGTTTTCTGGAAACTATAAAAATAGTAAATGCCAACCTCCTGAATATTACTTGTGATGCTACTTGGACTAAAGTGTTACCAACACAAATATAAATAAAAATAGTAACATCATTAGAACAATATGGAATTTCTCAAACTATGCTGATCACATACAGTAAATTTTAAACGAAATAAAATTAACCTCAATATTTTGTGATTCATTATTTTATTGAAAAATCAATTTTAAACCATAAATCATTAAAAAAAACACACAATTTTAAAATATTAAATCATATTTATCGATTTTTTTTCATTTTCTTCCGCCTTTTAGGTGGACTAGCCCTTAAATCTTCTTGATCATCTCCTGGTTTTAAAGGTGCCACACTGAACCCTTCAATAAATGGTTTAACCAACTGAAGAACGAATTTTTCGTGCTGAATATTATTCGAATCCAAACTTATTCGAACGGTAACCGGATCGAAAGCGTGAAAAACAATATCGCCACATTTTTGGGTATGATCTTCCTCGTTGTATTCGAAAATGCTTAATTTCTCTTCACCCTTTTTCCCCAGATAAAGCGTCGATTCCAAGCCGAATTTTGGAATTAAAATTTGTAAAGCGTTTTTACGAACGTACAAAACGTAACCTTCTTCATCTTCAATTTTTCCACGAAAAAATAACTAAAAAAAAATTAATAAAATTACAGTCTTTTTTATTTATATTTTTTAATTTTACGTGGGTGTTAAAAGCTATGGAAGCTCGTCCAGCATATTGAGCCATTCGATTCCTGTAATTTAAATTTTGACACAAGTCGCTAGTTTTTCTTTTATCTAATAAATCAGGATATGTTGAGTCAGAACCCACTGAAACTGCAAGAAGTCGATGGACTATTATATCGGCATATCTTCGAATTGGTGAAGTAAAATGTGTATAAAGCGGAACAGCTAAACCGTAATGAAAAAATTCGGCTTTTGTGAACATTCCACTTGCAAAATAAACAGCTTGCATCATACATCTTGTTGTAAGTATTCTTAACATTGTATTTAAGTATGGATTATCAGTTTTTACAGCTGCATCTAAAGAATCTGCTAAATGTTTTCCAGAATCAATATGAATTTCAAAACCCTAAAAGATATTAATTAAAGTTTCGATTCTGAAATTTGTTTTATAATACTTACTAAATGTTTTCCAGCTTTTATGACAGGATCAAAATTAATTGGTGGTGGTTCTGGATGTCTTCTTAACATTGCGCAATCTGGAAAATCTTCAAGAATTTTTTCAGCTACACTAATATTAGCTAATAACATAAATTCTTCAACCATTGAGTTAGTTTCAAATAATTTTTTAACTTCTACATCGATTGGATCGTGAGTTTCTGTATCCATCATTATCTTTATTTCAGGAGATGCCAACACTAAAGCTCTAAAATTACGATTAAAATAAAAACTTTAAAAAAGCAATTTTTGTTACCCCTTTTCTAATCGTTTCTTTTTTAAAAACTTCGCTAATTTATTTAAATTTCTTAAAGATTGGGCCAATTCATCGGTTTGGGAACCATCATCAATTGTAATTTGGGCTTCTTCATACGTCATTGCTTTTTTTGATTTAATTATACTTTTATGAAAACGAGTATTAATAATGTTGGCTTTTTTGTCTAATTCCCAAACGCAAGAAAACGCGAAACGTTCCTCCCCACCTCTTAACGAGCATAAATTTGAACTTAATAAATCAGGAACCATGTCGATTCTGTTATTTACAAGATAAACAGTCGTCGCGCGAGAAGCTGCTTCTTTATCCAAAGCAGTTCCCGGTCGAATAAAATGAGATACGTCAGCGATATGAACACCAACTTCGAAATGACCGTTTTCTAATTGTCGGCAATGCAAAGCGTCGTCAATATCTGTACATCCTGGTGGATCAACTGAACAAATATTTATGTGACGTAAATCAACGCGTTTATTAACATCCTAATCAAATGAATAAGTGTTAAAAATTGGAATAAAAATGTTGTTTTATAAACTTGCCTCTTCCGTTATAACCCAAGGAATTTTTGGGAGACAATTTAGAACTTCTTCGGAAAATTGATGGTGAGGGACATCATGTTCTAATAAAACAACTTCATTTTCAGTTTTTTGATCTCCAATTTTACCCAAAGCTCTAACAAAATGACCCTAAAAATGTATTTAAATGTATATTATTAAAAAATTAAAAAAAAATTCTACAGCATCAAAGCTGATCAACTCCATCTCCCAGATTTTTGCGATAGATGGCATGAGACTGTATTAGGTGTCTTTGCAATGAAAACTCTGCTCTACCTTGATCGGAAGAGGTCAACTCAGTTCCTGGCAAAATCAAAAATCACTTCCTGACCGGACACTGCAGGTTAAGTAAGTTCATTTCTCTCCAATGAATATAAAATATTAACATACGCATGACAAGATCGCAGATGATGGCGGAATACGCACCGAAACCGGTCCGATTAATTTATAAAAATAAACTATTGGCAACAATAAGGAATTTGATTTCAAACCAGTATCAACTTTTACCAATATGGCTGAAACATCTGTAATTTCGAAAAGTAGATGATAAATATTCGGTATGGCACTACTATCTAATTGGTGCTGATCATGGTGAAACGGCAAAAAGCAAAAAATCTTTTACCGTTCTGAAAACAAAGAGTAACAAAATAAACATTAAAGAGCAACGAAAAGAACGAGCTTGTCTTGCAACTTTAAATGCATCTAGTATGGTTTACAGCTGGCAATAATAGATGTGTTATACAAAAAGCCAAAAGAACATCAAAGTATATTGGAGCAAAACATTAAAGAAACATATTACGTTTAATATCAAAACATAAAGAAAACTTTATTCTGCTCTAAACAAACAGCCACCCGTCCAGTTAACTAAGAATGCACTCTTCAATACATTGATTCAAGAAATTGATATATTCAATAATGGCGGTACATCAAAAAATTCGTACTTAAACAGATCTTAAGAGGAGTTTAGTTCGTATTAGCGAGATGTATTTAGTAGGTTAGTAGACAGTAGTTTAGTCCGTATTGTTGACAACCTCATGCTGCATAGCATTATAAGATAATTAATTATTTTCATAAATAAATCAATAAATTATTATTTAATTATCTGGAGCAGAACGCTTAGTGTATACTAGACACTGATTGTATAAGGATTGCATTATATTACTATGACAGCATAAAAATAGAATGTAACATGCGGTTATATTAAAATACTACAGTGCCTAAATTTGCAGTGCATGGACTACATTCTAAGCTAACATGGTAAATTAAGTACTAGTAGACACAAATGTCTTGGCAGAAACAAAGAAAAAAGGTCAAGGCTCAAAAAGATATACAGGTATTTTACTTTAACTCCCAGACCAAGTATCTCTGGAATGGGTTGAGATATCTCAGTTTTGTAAGAAGTTATTGTTAGAGTATGTAAATGACTTCAGTTCTTAAGTATTGTTATTATTAATTATACAAAAACAAAGATGGCGCTGCAGTCAAAAGAAACTTTCCCTTCAACATAAACTTTTTATCAGATGCATGTGATAGAACATTGAAAACTGTGCAACTTTTCTTATTAACATTGATTTCAAACCTTAGTGGATTCGAAGATATTTAACATTAAAGAAGAAAAGAATTGAAATTAAATTATTCATATAAACCAACAAGGTGGTCACAACATTATTTTCTAACATAAACAACAAAACTTATAATAACTGCAAAATTACTTATATTTTCCAGCATGCACAATTCCAATCGTCTTACCAATTCAACATTACATACTCTTACAGGACTATTTGTACTATTCCATAGTCTTGGAAACCTGCAGTCCAGGTACTATCTGACATCTGTGCGTTAAGTGAAGCTGCACCATTGTTGAAACCACATCGGTCTTTTTAATGCGTTTAGCAAAACATTCATCAGCTCAGGATGGTTGTTCTGCAGAAACTCCAGGTCACGGTAACTTGTTGATTATAAGGTTGTTTGATTATTTGTTTGTACGATCCAACTAAGATTATCTTGAGACCAATATCAATTTTTTTGCTTGCATACGATTCCGTATTATAGAAACGACTTTCGTTGCACCACAGAATGTTTTTGAGAAAGTTGTCTGTTTATGTCAAAACTGAAAATTCAGCCAAGCACTGAAGTCAACGAATAACGTCGCCTGGTTGTAGATGTTGAACAAAATCTAACGCAACATGTCGCTAAGTCAAAAAACCATCATGCAAAAAGCCATAAATATTTTTAATCAAATTCAGAACGAAGGAGACGATACTAGTGAAAATTTTACAACTAGCTGAGGTTGGATCAATAATTTTAAAAAAGAAGCAACCTCCACAACATTCGAATCACCGGAGAAGCAAGTGCAGATACTGCTGCCGCTTCAATTTTTCCTGCAACGTTAAAAGCCATAATTGAAAGAGGAAATTATCCACCAGAATTGGTTTTTAACGTGGATGAAACAGGACTTTTTTGGAAGAGAATGCCAAAGCGCACATTTATATCGCGAGAAAAAAAGCGAGCATTGGGTTTCAAAGCTGCAAAAGGCCGTTTCACACATCTTCTGGGTGGTAACGCCAATGGCGATTTAAAATTAAAACCTCTACTTGTCTATCATGTCAAAACCCCAAGGGCCATGAAAGGAGTTCGAAAATCTAGTCTACCCATCATTTGCGAATTCAATAAGAAGTCTTGGATCATAAGAGACATTTTTCAAAATTGGAACTAAATAGTTTTGAACCAAAAGCTCTATTGCTGCTGGATAACGCACCAAGTCATTCCATCAACCTATCGGACTTAAACACTTGCGTTCCGGTGGAAATAGTTTTCTTACCACCCAAGAAAACTATTTCGTTAAATCAAGGGAGTCGTTAAATCAATGGACCAAGGAGTTATTGCAAATTTTAAGGCACATTATCTTCGTCGTACATTTCAACAACTTTTTGATAAAACAGAAGGTGGACATAAAGAAACAATTATGCAATTGTGGAAAAAATATAACATCCTGGATGCCATAGGCAATATCGTAGTCGCTTGGCAAGAATTAACTAAGAAGTGCATGAATGGAGTGTGGAAGAAGATGTGGCCGGAGGTATCTCAGGATTATCAATGAGAAGAGCCTATTGTTGGTCAAATTGTTAAACTAGTCGAAACAGCAGGACTAGGAGATGGAGATGAGCAGCATATTGAGGAGCTACTGCAGATTTCTGGTGAAGGCCTTACCAACGACGACCTTCAGGAACTGGCAGTGCAAGGAATTGAAGAAGGCAAAAACAATGGTTCTGAAAACGATGAACCAAAAGAAATTACTACAGATTTTCTTAAAAAAAGTTTGGAAACGATAACCGAAATAGTAGATCAAATTGTTGCGAATGACCCAAATTCGACAGAACTGCAAAAGCAAGAAGGGGTGTTTTGGTTGCGATCGCCTGCTACCGACATTTGCTTAATGAAAGAAAAAGAAAGCGACAAACGACTCTAGACGATTTCCTTGCCAAAAAATCAACAATATCAGAAGAGCCAGGACCTCCATCCCAAATATAAACTTTATAGAAGTATACAGGTAATTTAAATTCGACCCCCATCATTGGGATCTCAGGAACCATAAGAGATACAGAAATGATTAAATGGGGGCAAAGTTGCGTATCTTAGAGCTCATTATTTTTCAACTAAGTTTTTGGATCTAGCCGTTTTAGTTTTCAAAATATGGCCGAAAAACAAAAAGAAATACTTTTTCGTTTTTTGTTTGTAATAATTCTGATTTCAATGATATGTCACACAATGTATTTTTTTATTTAAAAAACATAGAATTATTCAAAGAAGAAAATAAACCTGATGATAGTTTCACGAAAACGAAACGTCTGGGAAAATTTCTAATTATGTCATGACATTTTTTATAAAAAGTTGCCTTAAGAATATTTTTTTAGATTCACAAAAAATGAAAAATAAAGAAGTTATAAGCAAAAAACGAAAAAGTCATTTTTTGTTTTTCGACCATATTTTAAAAACTAAAACGGCTAGATCCAAAAACTTTGCTAAAAAATGACGAGCTCTAAGATATGTAACTTTGCCCCCATTTAACCATTTCTGTATCTCTTATGGTTTCTGAGATCCCAATGGTGGGGGTCAAATTTGAATTACCCTGGATATTTGTGCAAATGTTTGTTGTTGCAAACTATTACAGTTTAAAATTAAAGTAAAATTTGTTTATTTTTGGTCGTATATTTCCGTTTCCCTATTTGCTATGTGTTAAAATGACATCATATAACGGTGTTTCGTTTAGCGCTCTTATCTTCAGGAACGCATCTATTGCGCTAAACGAGGTCTTACTGTATTCCTGAAATAATATGAAAAATGGAAGTGGGAACAGAGAGAATCACCCTGGACAGCTTAATTGATAAAAGCACTTAAAAATTATATTGAAGAATATGGAATATATTGACATGAAGAAGAAAGCTTTTGTTATCAAGTCCACCCTGAATTTACAGGTTTTAGAGAATTTAAATTTGTCAATACTTGTCATGATGAACCGTTTTAACGTTGGTTGGGAGCTTAATCATAAAATGATAAAGAGTGGTTAAAATCGCTAATTTGGAATTTTACTCCAAAACATTTACATTGTAAAACGATAATAATTAAAGGTGCAACTTCTTGGCTGTTATAACCTTTTAATAACGGATTTATACTCATTTTGAAGATTGTAGATGTGAAGGGAGTAAAAATTGACCAACAAGCAAATTGCAGTCGCAATGAGACCCGCATTAGCCAAGCAGGAATAAGCTCACAGAGACGAAAGGGCAAAGTTTCATCATATGTATGACCTATAAGAAGAATCATAATTTTTTTTGTTGAGGTATTGATGATGAAAGTATAGAAATAGTACTTTCTAAGATTAAAAAAATTAATACTAGTTTAATATTATTTACATTTGGATATCGAGATGTCCTTGGCCAACTATCAATAGCAACAATTAACTTTTGAGTCCTCAAAAACTCAGCTTGTCTCGTCTCAATACGAATCTTAGGAATCTTTTTTTCAGCTGGAATGAAAAGTTGATAAACACCATCAAGCCCATCTTGAAGAATCCCACAATATTGTCTCCATTTCCTCTTGATAATTCCAACGACTCGTCCTGTCGGTTTAATATCACCTTTTTTCCCAACTTGAGAAAGTTTCTGTTCTTTCTCGATGACATCTTCAAGCGCGTTTTCATTTCCAGCTTCGTCTTCAAAAATAAAATCACTCGGAGCGATCCAATCCTCTTTTTTCAAGATTTCAATCGCAACCAAATCCCCGTCTACAGCTCTGTTTAAACCAACTCTTCCTCGTACGATAACCGGGTCCTCAAAAGCATCAATTGTAACAGTGGCTTCTAAGAAATTATCTCGAGACGCATGGAATGTTCCTTGATGTAAAGTGGATTCTTTGATGCCTTGGTGAATTGATGTTATGGAGAAATGAGGTGGATAAACATTTTCAGCATTTTCTTCTTGGTGGAAATCTTTTTTTGAGAGCTTATCAGAAAGATATTCTTTTCCAGTTAAACTACTTACATATTTTGACACTAAAAATGTATATTTTTTTTATATTATTGATTTTGAAAGAAATTATTAAAAAAATTACTTGAGTAGGATAAAATATCTTCATTTTTTGCAATACTCCTATTTGCTTTGTCATCAGAAATAAACACAAAAGTTTCCCAGGGAATATGTTGAATATACCAAGAACAAGCTTTTCTAATGCATCTATCGTTATAATCATTGGGTGTTTCCCCTTTTTCTTGTTGCAAATAAGTTTCTTTATTAAAATCATTTATAAACACATAAAAATGTCGTTTCGAATTATCAATTATGCTCATTAGCCGGCGATAAGTTGGTAAATTTCGATGTTTAACCTCATTTAAGACTGTATTTAATATAATTACGTTTCCAATTACATCTTCTTCTAAAACATCAATCTAAAATGATTACAATTAATAAGATTAACTTTATTTTAAATGAATTAATAATTACCTGGTCTAAAATTACATTAGTATCCAAAATAAGATAATGATTCTTTTTTATTAAAGAAGATTTAACCTGGAAGTCTTTTGAGAGACTAGTTTCTGTATGGGAACATGTTTCACAGAATTTAAAGCCGCAAAAGATATCATCTCGGATGTAATGTTCCCTTGTATGCTAAAAAAAGGTAAAGTAAAAAAAATTATATAACAATATTATGTATTATTTACCTTTATGTAATTTCCAAGTTTGTTTTTTCGTACAAAAGTCTTTGTAGTAAACATTTTAATAACATTTATGAAAACATGTAGAAAAGATAGGTTAGGTTCACAAAATAGAGGTTAGGTTCGCTTGGTTTAGTTCTTTTTTTAAAACTTAGGGAGTTTTGTGTTGCTATGTTATTCAGCTATTATTATATATTATTTTTATATAGCATTTAATTCCCACCTATAATTAAATAAATGAGACAAAAAAAATAAAATCAAATTAAGAAAATTCAATTTATATAACTTTTTAATCAGAATGCTTATAAAAATAACTTTATTTTAGGTTGGTAAGACCGAGTAAAGATCACATTTTGACACCTCCGCTGTCAAAGTTGTCAAAGATTCTTACATAACCCTCGAAATCTTTGAACAAATTTAAGCCGCCATGGCGAAAAGAATTTCCCAAAGTTCGATTAATTGGGCGGCTTTAGCCGAAAGAGTCCCGGAACATCAAAAGCCTCAATTTATTGCTTTCAAATCGAAAGCTGATAACTATTTAAGAAAGTAAGTTTCGTCCCTCATTTTTACGTAATTAACCTTATTCATTCACTATTTTTTATATATTCTAAATTAATTAGAGTTCAACAATTGCCTGATGCACCACCAAAGCTAGATTGGGCTTTCTACAAAGCCAAAGTTCCGGTTCCTGGAATGGTAGCTGAATTTGAGAAATCCTATTCAGCTTTGAATATTCCTTTCCCTGCTGATACTGTTAGTGGTCAACTTGATTCCCAGGAAAAAGAAATTAAGCAGGATATTGAGAAATTTAAAACTGAATCAAATGCTCGTATTGAAGAGTAAGTTTAATAAAGTTTTTTTTAACACAATTATATCTTTTTTTTCATATTTAGATATAAAAAACAACTTGCGCATTTAGCTTCTTTGCTTCCATATGATCAGATGACTTTGGAGGATTATAGGGATGCTTTCCCAGAGGATGCTTTGGACACTCTTAATAAACCAACGTTCTGGCCTCATGCTCCTGAGGATCAATTAGGTTATGTTGATAAAACTGAAGCACCAAGCAAGCATTAAAAAAATGTTATTTGAAGGTAATTCTGATAGAATTCAAATGAATATGTAGGGTAAATAAAATAAAAACTAATTAGAAAAATGATTAAAATAAGTTTATTTCCAAACACCATTTTAAATAAAAGTAAGATCTCTAAAAATATGTATGGGATCTCATAATTATATCCTCATCCTTTCTTGTTCCTTATTATTTCAGTTTTAGAATAAACACGGCGTCATCCAACCAATAAAACGATTGATTTAAATCCCCTTCGCATAAGTACGGAACCCTAGTCCATGATTCCATTTCAAATCCTAATGGCTCGAAAAGTTGATGAATTGCGCTTTCCACCTGATCTTCAAAAGTTAAACCAGTTATTTCCAAGAATTCCTTTGGTTGATGATTTTTTGAGCCTAAAAAGAATACTTAATGAAAAAATGTTAAAAGGAATCAAAAATTAGTTTTACCTGTTTCTACATATTGAGATAACGGCAAAACCAAAGCAATTACCGCTCTTCCATTTGGTTTTAAAGTACCACGAATTTCTTTCAACATCCCAAATGGATTTTCACATCTATCAAGTAAATTTAAACATGCGACGGTGTGGTACTTCTTTGTTTGCCATTCACTAATAGGTAAGACACTGAAAAAAATAAAATTTAAGTTTAATTTTTATTAATAACTAATGGATAATTTTGTGTTTGTTTCAAGGTATGGATGGGATTTTTAAAATAATATAACGGATGCTTTTTGGTGAGTATATACAGGTTGATTCATAAATAATCCAACAAATAGACCAACAGTTTAATTTTAAATGAAGTTAAAACAAACAAGGGTAGGCAACACTTTAAGACATCTTTTCTTGGGCGAAATAGTTGTAGTGCTTGATAATGCGACAATACCCTCTGTAAGGTAACCAGTAACAATGACCTTGTAATCTGCTACAAAGTCGTTCATTAGCAACACAATGAAGTCATTAATTAGGATTTTAAAAGTGCAAATTCATTATGTCTCTAAATTATTGGGATCCAAACCTGAATGTCATTAGGGCAAGAAAATCAAGAAAGAAAAGTCCAGAAAAAGCCCATGAGTAATTATAGGTATACTAGCGAGTCATTAGAAGCTTTCAGGGGCTTAAAAGTTGTGTTTACGGAACGCATCGCCTCAAGAATTCAGATATTTCTGTATTTGAGGACGCAAACACCTAATTAATTGAAGATAACCCGGTCTAATTCTGCCTTTTATTTGTAAAGTAATCTAGCTGGTAGGATAGTAGTGCTGACCAAAATGTTGGTGTGTATAATTTTAAATGAAAGGCGGAAGCTAGAATTAACAACAAAAAGATAGAATTGTATACAGCTGCGTGTACAGTGCCACACAGCAAATATTTTTCGTTTTATGGCTCTTTTTAAAGCTAATTAACAAATTGTACTAGGTGAAAGTATCTTTCCTGTATAGTTTAATTAATTAAATACTCAATGTATTTTCTCGTATAAGAATTTATTTTTAATTAGGTATCTTTTTTAAATTAATTTAAGAAAAAATGTACTCATTTTCAACGCACAAAATTATTGACACAGTTAAAAATGCTTTAATCTAAATTAGTATTTTGTGGGCAGCCCATTTTATTTAATAACAGCCTCAAAACACCTTGGCATGGAATGAACCAATTTTTGGGTTATTTTCTACTCAATTTTGTAGCAATTCTTTAACAATACTTGTTTTAGCTCCGACCCATCTATCCAATTCCTCTCACAAATGTTTAATCGGGTTGAGACCTGGAGACCGCGTGTATGGTAAGACATGTAGGGTACTTTACCGTTGATGCAAGGTTTTCTTTATTAAACGCTATACTGGCTCTTTTCCATATTTTAATGCGACCATCAGATCGGAAAATATTGAACTTATTTTCATCTGAGAAGAGTACTTGATCTCAGAATGTATTTCCGATCGATTTGGTTTTTCTTATATTCTTTTATTTTCATCAATGTTGCGAGTGTACGATTAAAATTTCAAAAATTATTAATAAAGAATTAATAAAATGAACAACTTCTGACTCGCTAAAATAATTTATTTACTCAGAACCGGTTTCAAAACTTAAAAAGTTTCATCTTCAGCTGAATCTACATGTAATGGAGACAAAAGAAAATCACTTAAAAATAAAAAAGAATATTAAAACCAAACTTACAGTCAATAAATTAAAAAATTAATATAAGATGTTAAAAGGAACATTAGGAAGAACATTAGCTGATAAAAACTTATTAAAAAGACTTAATAAAACACACAATGTTGTTTTATTAAGTCTTTTTAATAAACTTCTTATAGATGAAACTTTTTAAGTTTTGAAACCGGTTCTGAGTAAATAAATTATTTTAGCGAGTTATTCATTTTATTAATTCTTTATTAATAGATAATTTTTCAAATTATATTCTTTTGCGTAGTCCATACATTTCTTTGCGTACAGATATTAATGGCTTTCGCTGCACTATAACCAGCCTCGTGTAGTACTCTTCTGACGGCCATGAGATGAACATCCTTTCCAAAATGTTGTTTTACTTTAGTACCAATCTGTGCCGATGTTATTTTTGGGTCTGCTTTGACTTTTCGGGTTATCTGCTTGCTTTCCCGATCGCTTAAAGCTCGGGGACGTGTTTTCTTGTCACCAACTTCGATATACTTTTTATTTTATTTAAACTCATTAACTCATTATTATAATATCGTGTCCAAGGTAATCACACCAATAAATAACTTTTCTGCAAAGTAACAATTAAAAATCTTTAAATAACGACGATATGTTCCATATGTTCAAACAAATTTCCAACTCTGATTCCACAGTATCTATTTTGAGCAACAGATTCTTATGATTCCTGGTCTTTCACCTGACGCAGATCAATCCAAGTTTACTATTGGAACTGAATTCGTTTTGGGTAGTTAAAACGTAACCATATGCTGGAACTCCCAAACGTCATTTAAGCAGTTAACGGCGGTGTGAATAAGCTCCAAAACAGTGTCCAACCGAGCATTAACTCAAACTAGTAAAAATAAGTACTCAGTGAGGAGAATCCGATCGGATATGAAGGATATCGGTTTCATCGATTGTGATAATATCCAAGATGTTGTAGGTACTAAAGGCTGGTCTTACATGTTATCTGGTTAAAATCATGTTGGTCGATCTCGAAGATGTCATTATGTTCAACGCGAATTGAGAAGAACACCTGTTGCATCAAAGAGTGCTCAACCTGTATTTCTTGCCCGAATAGTGCGTATTCAGTTCCACCGTTATCGATTTTGTAGAACACAAAATAATTCCAGAAGGTATTGCACTGCTTCCGGTTCACATCAAAGGAATTATGGTAACATAGTCACTCAAAACAAAAAGACAACTATAACCTTACAAACCCGATTACGTCCTCTTAAATGACCTTTAATTGAAATTTCAGTAGAAATCCTCAACAAAGATCTACACCGCCTTGACTAGGAGTTTTTTTTGTGTGTTGTGTAAAAATAATTGTAGCGGTATATTATCAAGAGAAACCTCGAACGGCAGTTATGTCATTATTTTAGACAAGGTAGCACAAAATCCTGAAAACCATCCTCCTGTGTTCCTGATCGAGCTACCGCAATGCTGATTAAATCCAAACGAGTTCAACGAGAAAATAAGTATGTCCAAAACTTTGCAGTTCTACGACACTTACAAGAGAGTCAGTCCCTCTATTTAAGAGTCACTGCATGCCATTTGAAGGCGCTACTACTAAAGAGGTTCCTACAAGCAAAAACTTTCCTGTGGCGCTGCTGCTATACATTGTTTGTGTTAATTGTTACAGTGAATTTATTCAAATCTGTTGTTTTAATTGAAAGTTTATGAGTATTACATTCACTTCTATAGATGAGATGTTAAACATTATTATATTTCCCAAGGTGTATATTTTTGTATCATACCTGCGCGTGGCTTTTTTGATATATAAACATAAAATCCGCATGTACAGAGAGCCTTATAGCATTTAATCTAGAATAGAGTATTGGGATAGATATTAGTATTTTGGCAACATTCCGCTAAAGTAATTAAATACTTTGCGAGAGTCGGCTAAATCCGCATAGCTTTGTTGTAATCTGAATCTGTTCAAAGACATTATTAGACCATTAGATTCCTACTTTAGAAAATCCATTTATTCTATATAATAAGCTACTTGATTTTGGTACATCCAAATATCTAAAGTTTCTGTCCGAGCTATTTTTTTCACACCTGGTGGTTTTGTGTATTATATTTATGACTGCTTCGAACATTTTTAGTTTTTCGAATTCGATTATTTTCAGCATTATGACTATGTATATACTTCCACATGGTATTTTAATAAATGCTTCTAAATTCTGTATTTTTCTTCTCGGTCACACCACATAACTTTTCTTCTATGAAAATGTCTTGAAATAGGAGCTATTGTGGCAAAATTTACAGAACAATCCAATTATTGGTAGAATTGTGCGCAATGGATGAGATAGAATGTTATGAAAAATAACTTTATTTCGATTAATGTTGATATATACCCGAATCTGATTTGAGTTGGTAGGTACATAAATAACTATAACAATAATAAAATCTTATGTTGGGGTTTTATGTATAAAACAATTTTGAATGAATGGTTTTCAATAACATGTTTACTCATCTGGAATAAATGTTTCGAAATGTAAAAACATAACAATTAATGTTTATAATAAATAGTATTGTCTCTCTTTAAATAGGTAGCACTTTTTCTTTTGTATTGTTGCTCGTTTAAATAAATTAAGTCTGTTCTGATTGGGCTAAAAATGCGTTATGTAATAAAACCAGTGCGGTAATGAAGTTCATTACGTAACTCAAATCACCTCAAACGAGTGTGGTAATGATGACTTATCCAAGCAGTCGTAGATAAATATGATTTAAGTGATATTAGGATTAAAAATAAGTTAGATCTTGGACATGACACGGTCTGACTATTTCAAAAATAGTCAAAACACATCGTAGTCAATTATATGTATAGTATAATAAAACGATTTAAAATATCACTTCAAACCGCTTGTTGCTGGTTTTAATTAATTTTAATTGTTTCTTTTGAGAAAATCACCTCAAACGAGTGTGGTAATGATGACTTATTCAAGCAGTCGTAGATAAAATATATTAAAACTCCAGAATGAATTAACTATAAATCAGAATACTTATTGCTTTTTGTTAGAAAAACTCTCTGCTTGATTGATAAGATTTTCAATTTCAGTTTCGCATAATAAATTTTATGGACTAAGTTGGATGTTGGTTGTTGCGGGACTAGAACTTGTGGTTGGCAATTATATCTTTCTGGTATGTTACCATGTAAGGTACTTTGACATGCAACATTTCTAAAACATTGGAGATAGATGACAATAAGCTGATAATAATTGATAATACTAATCTCTTCATTAATGTGTTGAAAAATCTCTCAAATTGACGGATGAGTTTGCATACTTTGAATTACCAGTTAATAAGAATAATTCTGCAAGTAACGAAGTAAAGACAAGAATAGGAAAGCTCTATAATGAGAATAATAAGAGTTTAATGAGACCAGTGGTAACGTACGAATGCGCAACATGGACGCTAGTAAAAAAGACGAAGAAGACTGAGAAGGATATTTTGTCCAGTACAAGAACAAGATGGAACATGGAGAACTCGAATGAATTTTTAATTAAATGTCCTGGTTGGTGATGCGGACAAAACCAGATTTGTTAAATCTGAGCGAATTAGATGGCTAGGACATATAAGAAGAATGGAAGACGATAGAAGTGCAAAAATCCCCACAGAATGGAAACCAACAACGAAAAGACCTAGAAGAAGACCCCGTAAAAGATGGTTGAACGACGTGAAGGATGACTTGAGGGCGATGGGAGTGAGAGATTAGTGGAGAGTGGTTATGAGTAGACGGGAATGGCTTAGAATTGTTGAGGAGGCCAAAATCCACCAAGGGTTGTAGAGCTAAAGGAAGAAGAAGAAGAAGAAGAATGTTTTCCTTTCGTGATGTTTTACGGTATTTTTTAAAATACTGACGTTTCCTCCATGTATGTTGTTATGCGGAAAGGTTGAATATAAGTTTATGCTCCCAGATATCGCGTTCATCTTGTTCAAGACTTTCCCAAGGATGTCTTAGAATTGAGTCAAATTATTGACGAATTGGTTTCTTACCATTTGATTAACAGTGTTATTATTTATATTATTATATTTTACTTTTGAAACAAATTTTAGGGATAATTTGTTGTATATAAATTTTCAAGAAACTTTACGTAATAATACTTAATCAAAATATTTTCTAACTCGTTTAAATATATTTATTGAAATATTCCTTGAGGTGGAATATAAATAACCAGTGATATAAGACACATTTAAATCGGTTGATGTTAGGGATAGAAATATTAGGAAAGACTTCGAAGTTTACGATCTCGAAACTGAAGATAACGATCGTAATTTATAATGGAAATCAGTATAAAACGCGCGTATTTGCAGAACTAATATCACTTTACGTGTAAGCGACGCATATTTCAAGACGGCGTAACAAGAGAAAAGAAGAAGGGGACGCGTCTTGAGAGCGGCCCGAGCTCGCAATTTAATACCGTTTCGTGTGTCATATTTACTTTATCGCTTCGCGCCGCCGCGAATTTACGATCAACGGGTTATTTAGTGGGTCCGAGGAGGGGCGAGCTTTTTAATGAATATTCACCGATATAAATTGATCCGAGAGCCAAGCCGGAGAGTTTTGTTGGAGAAAAGATATCCCCTGGTCGCGCGTTCTATACGAATAATTAAGCGCGGAGAATCATTGCGATCGTAAAATTTAATTGTGCCCGGGAGAGGGTGTCGAGGAAGGACGTGCGAAGAATAACCATCGCTCTAAGTTCGACAACGTTCATGTAGTCTCAACCACTTTGTCTGGATTTCCAATCATCCTAAGTAACCTGTCTTAATTAAGACGATACACTCAACTTTTATTAGGGATTTAAAATGGTTTTAATGAACTACTTGGCATTGAAAAATACATTGATAATCAAAAAGTAACTAAATCAAAGAATTGTTGACGTGTTTTTAAATAATTAATGAAAATATATTTAAAGATGTATTATGGTGTCGTGAGGATTAGTAATTTTTATAAAAGAAATATCGTTATCTATCCGTGGCAGTTTATCGGTTCGCGACACATAAACAAGACGTTCGCTTGCGCTTCTCGCGATCTCTTGCGCGCGGCTGAGGCGGCGGCGGCGCTGCGGTCGTAAACATTCCTCGCCAACAGCGTGCTCTCTGGCGGCGGCGATCCGAGAAGCGAGGGAAAGAGACGCACAGCGCCGTTATCCCGTGAATTATTGTAATTGTTTCGGGTTTATTATTGCCCGCAATTATCACGGTGTCGTGCAAATATACCAATCTTTTCGCTCGTATTTTATCACGCAGCTTCGTAACGAGTAAAAAACCCCCGGGCGGGAATTGTAATCGTTCCCGATAATTACAATCGTCGCATCGCGTAATTGACGAAGGAAGAGGAAACATTTTCAGCGATTGCTGTCGTCGTCGTCGTCGTCGTCTATTTATAAACGCGATTATGTACTCACTGAAAACCACGATGTTGTAACAACGTCTGCATTGTACTGGACAGTTCCGTTACGTAGACGTTCTTATATGCCTTCGCCAGATGTGATGTTACAGCTCCGTCACCCGCCCCCAGATCCAATAAGGAATCTTCTAACATATCTTTATCTTTACCCATCAGTTTTATGAATTGATTATAAGATAAAACAAACATTGATCCTCTTCTTAACCACCTGAAAAAAAAATAATATAATATAGTCGTTACGAAATGGTCACAAGGATTGTTACTATATGTTAAAATTTAACGAGAGTGAGTTTAGTTCATCCAGTAAAAAAAGTCAATTTATACTATTTAAATAAGAAAAAACTACATGTATTTTGCTTACTTTGAACTGAGATTTGTATTAACTAATCATTACTAACTAAAATTGTTCACTAATAACTTTCTAATATTCTAAAAAGGCAGTGTATCTTTGTGTCCTCATTCTTTTTGGGTCAATCCTAGTAAAAAGTGTATGTATTCATATCTTTCCCTAAAGTGGATTGAATATTGAGTGGTAATTGAACCGTTGAACCATTTCCGTTGTTTAATAAGATACACTTGAGATTTCTGCTTGAGCTGTTTCCATATAAGTGCCACTCATTTGGGTGATATTATTTAATTCCCATTTCGGATAGTACATTTGGTGCATTGCTACAATCCCTCATTTATTTCATATGTTATATAAGATTGCTTTCAATGGTACTATGAAAAATTATCTTTATACTTTCCTCGAGTAAGTATTTTTCATTTAATTTAATTTATTCTCGAGGTTAACAGTTTCGATGGTTCCTCTGATAACCCTTCTACTTCTTCTCCTTTCTCTTGTCGCCATTCTATCCCGCGGTGTTGGGCCTCGGATCCATCTCCTGTATGTATTCCTGTTTCTAGCCAATCTTCATACTTTGACAACACTTCCCCCTTTTTACTGTCACTTCCTCTATTAATTTTTCCACTAGATTCTTGGTCTTCTTCTGCTATCATATTGTACATTTTCTTTGATATTCTTTCCTCATCCGTTCATCTCTGACCATCTTGTTTTGTACACTGCTTCTTCAGTTTAATACTATGTTTCGCAGATACTTCATTTGTGCTGCTTCTAACGTGTCCAAGTTTCCGACCAGTGGGTAAGTGTAGGTGTATAGACGGTTTCGTACAGATGTAGTTTTCCTTTAGTGCTATTCATCTGGTAATAGTCTAGACTTACTTTTGCTATTTTGTTACACATCTCTTGATCTATCTTACTAATCATGGTTGTTTTCTCTTCCTTCTTCCTTTATAATGTGTAGGATCTTGCTTTTGGCCCTGTTTATTGTCATCCTCTTTTCTTGTAGGCAGGTTTTCCCTATTTGAATGTTTCTTTGTATGACATCCACTTCCCTCTTTCAAATTAGTGTCACATATCAATAATCGGTGGTCTCACCAGTCTGCCTGCATATGTATCTCAAATTGTATCTCCTACCTAAAGCTTTTAACCCATTAGTTTTACTTTTCACTTAGCTGGGCATAATTTCTCTACACGACTGGCTTATCTTAATCATCTTACTCATCCTTAAGTCAATCAATCTTTTCATAAATTGTCACAATTATGTCATAGTCGAATGTTTAAGTTGAGATTCGTATAAACAATTTCTTTCTAATTTTCCTTATTGTAAATCGATCTTTAAACCAAACGCTCCAATAATCGTATATTGTCTAAGAGGTGAATGTCTCGATGAATCTTCTTTCTAAATTAGTAATTTGCTACAACTTATGTAGTAAAAGTTTTTCTGTATTATGCTCCGGATACCGTTCTTTTTAACACTCTTCAAATTTTCATATTTTTGAAGAATTCTTCACATTGATGCATCTGGGAGCAAAAATGTTACAGACCATTGTGTTAAGGGTACAATTTGCTACAACTTTTTTAATAAAAGTTTTTCTGTATTATGCTCCGGATACCGTTTTTTTAACACTCTTCTAATTTTCATATTTTTGAAAAAATCTCTACATTGTTGCATCTGGTAGCAAAAATGTTACAGACCATTGTGTTAAGGGTACAATTTGCTACAACTTTTGTAGTAAAAGTTTTTCTGTATCTTGCTCCGGATACCGATTTTTTTTAACACTCTTCTAATTTTCATATTTGCAAATTGAGCAAATTGAGATATATGGCTGTCACCTTTATGATCTTCATGATGTTTATAAGGTACTGTTTCCACTTTTTTACAGTTCACTTGAAGAGATTAATAGTCAGATTTTCGATGTCATATCTGAAGACATAGATCATGAAGACAGAAAATAATGCAAATAAGGTGCGAAATATGTAATGAGGTGGACCCTTGAGGAACTTCATTTGAAGAATGGCTGGTTACAACAAGACGAAGCGTTGGCTCACACGGTTTGAACAATAAAACATTTATATCTCTTACTTAATTAGAGGTGACGTTATTACCTGATTTTAATCTGAAATACGATTTTTTTGGTAGAAATGTCTCAAAATCGAGGTTTATGAACATAGTTCTAAACAACTTGGTCTCACACTACGTAATTATCCTTTTGAAACAAGATTTAGTTCACTTTAAAAACACGTCTACAGATTTAACAAGATTTGTACTTGATCTTGCACCGCCAATTTCTCTAATGGTAGCAAAAAAATATCGATTATTATACCAATGGTTCGATGCTTGTGTGGTTTTATTTATGTAAACCCAATCATACGAGGCTCCATATCTGGTTACATAATCATCAGATGTGTATGAAATATAATGGTGACGTTTATTAATATAGCTTATTTTAACAACGTGGTCACGATTAAATTAATTCATAAAGTAAAGATAAACCCAAGGTGTAAAACTGAAACCACCTGAAAACCTTTTTCTCCAACATTTAGCAACTAGAGCAACACCTGCAGACAAGGAGAAATATTTGATCACTGTCATGTTGAAAAGATTAGATGAAATAGTAACTGGTGAAAAAAAGAAGAAATTGGTGAAGAAGGTAATTTGCACATTGTGATTCCTGTCAAGAAGAAACACATCAACGGATACACAAAATGCAGTTGCGAATTGTGGACAGTCTCTCAAGTTTTTAAAGAAAGGGCCAATAATGAAGTGTTAAAATAATAAGGCCTACTCAATAGCTACAAAAACCGAAAGTTACTTTTGTACTGTGAAGAGATTGGACGGCTGCACAGTTATCAGCAGCTTAGTAATGAAAATTCTTCTCTTTTACTGGTCCAGAAAGATAATAGAAACCACAACTTTTAGAATAACATTACAACAAATAAGAAAAATAAAATTTAAAGCCAGCGAGTTTCAAAGGAAAACTCTTCGGAGACTGTTCTGTGAGCGCTCTGACTACAGCGATGTTTTCCTGCCTCTTTGTGGATTTGAAATGCTCAGTTGTTTTTTAGGATTTACAGAAGTCGTTAACCTACGCTAATAAAGGATTTAAAATACGCGGCAATTAATATGTTAAAATATACATACGGAAAGTATTATAATCCTGCAAAAATTTAACTTCGACTTTTTATAATTCTGTAAATTTTGAGGAGTTTTGAATGCATTCTATCTTGTTACTATGAATGTATCCATATGTAATTTGATATACATATTCTAAAATCATAGTTCTGGATCATCTTTTGGACTAAATTCGTCAACTAGAAATGGTACTTTACCTAAACACTGTAGGCATTTATAATCATGGTAAATTTGAGATAATAATTAACCATTAACAGCATTGAGATATAAAATATAAATTAAATTACGTAACCAGAAGTGACGATATAATACAATAAAGTGTAAGCTATTCCAGCAAGCTTTTGAAGGCAAATGTACCTTAAAAAGTTTGATAAACGCAATAACTTTGCGTTCAGTGCTCTATTATGCCGCATTCTATATGCTACCTGTCTTTATGTTAGATATGGCTTTTTTGTTGGATTTTAGCAAAATATTTGATGTCAACTACATCAACCGTGTGGTGAGCATGTCAGAAAGATGATCAATAAATGTATACATATTGTTTAGAAATTTACTTTCTGAACAATGAAATTAAAAACTAAAGACAGATTCTAAGATTACTACATTAACTGTAGTCCGAAGCAGTTTTATATATTAATGACAACAAATATATTTTTGTGATGATACTATTGACGTAGATCGCTATGAGACGAGAATTCTAAGAAGTAATGCTATTCGGGTAATGCTATCTTTGATTCCTTTGTTTATAAACTGTACAATAACTTTTGTTCCGTTATATACATTAAAGTTCTATAATCGTCCAGTGGAATATAAAAGGACATAGTAGTCGTTAAGGGTTTATTTTAAGAGTTGGTTGGTTGTGGTTGCGGCGCGTTCATTTGCCTAATGGGTCGCCTATTGTTTCTCGACAGCGGTCTAACGCTTCTAGACAGAAGATATATGTCCGGTGTCCCTCCGGTTGTCCAACGTCCGGTCACACATTTACGGTCCCGAAGCTTTAGCCGCCGCCGGATTCGGTTCGGTCCTCCAGTCGAGATTAATTGCGGACAATCCCTTTAATACCGTCCGTCGTCCACCCGCTCCATGCGTTTTCGACGCCGCCGCCGCCGCAGCCACCAGAATATATATGACCCCTCACAACGCGGCAAAGTCCTTAAATAATTATCCAGAACGTGGTCGGGTTAGGATTAAGCGCTTAGCTCAGCCACAGTTCAGCCAACTGCGGTTAGAATTACTGATGCAAATCTTCTCGAACCTCGCTTCTTAATTAATGATACCATTGATCATCCCAAAGGAACAATGCGAAAGAAAAAGAATATATAAGAAGAAACACTTTTTTAAAAGATAATTTTTCCAAACACACCCAGACATAATTATTAAAGAATTTTATTATATTTTTGATGATTACGTTATAGATATTAATGATAAATTAAGTTAAAAAAAATGTTTTTGGTTGATTAAGAGTGACCCCAATGGCGCATTACACGCGGTGAATCCTGATAATCGTCACGGGGGAATTAAGACGCGTCCCCGGCGATTTTTATCGTAACCGTGGCGGAGGAGATCGCGTGCACGAGGCCCTTCAACCCGAGTGACATATGTAACGCCGTAGGTGTTCTCGAATAATTAACGCTCCTTTATCGCTCCTCAATTCGTCGGGACTGCGCGCCCTCGGGCCGAAAACGTCCATAAAAGAGAAAAAAATCGAGCGAGGTAAAGAAAAGCGAACGAG